AATGTAGATCTTATTAGTTCTCATCAGTACGTCACGTTATAAAATAAATCACCACGGTTGCCCTCTAAACATAAATAATTAACAAGTTATGGATAGTATACACCGCAATCTACTAACATTTGTTATTAACTATAGTATTTCAAGTATTTGGAAATGGCATTACGAAGGTGCCCACTAACTTGTCAAAAAGACTGGTTGGACACACACCTCCACACTTTATTATCCTACACTAATCTTCGCATTTCCCTAAAGGTAGAACAACCCATATCCTTAACTATTTGCGAACAGTAATCTAATCTAGGTCTACCTCTACCCCTCCTAACTTCCGTTTCTCTCTCTAATACGTCTCTGACTAGACCTTCATGCCTGAGAAGGTGTGCCTTAAATGTGAAGTTGGGTGCAAAAGAATACAATTAAATCCTCTGTCGGGAAAAAACGAAATGACTTTCCGAACAACCCTATACTAGACCTCAAAATGGTGAAAATAATTAAATATAGCAAAGAAAAGCGGCTATTTTGTCCAACTTACAATTTGTATTGTTATGCGTGATATCGAATATATACTTTGATAAAAAACGTTAATAAAACCATACTGTACCGCAATTTAGTACCTATTTATTGCATGAAAACAATGTAAGTAATAGTATTTTTTTGATAATAAGTCCATAAAACAACTTCGCGATAAAAATTTATACATAGGTATATATACGAGTAACGAACGTATTTATTACAGTAGCACTTACAGTACACACAAAACATGTTGATATAATATTAATAATAGTAAAACAAAGCTGATAATTGAGTCAAGGCTGGTAACATTACCTTTATAGTTGCATACATATTACATGTACTGTAACGTACGTATGTCTAATGCTTAAGGTANTCCATGAAAACCTGTTGCTTTAGCTATAGGTATGTGTAGTTAAAAATAGCAAAATGTACAGAAGGCATGATTCATATGATTATTAACTCATTGTCAGTAATATATGCATTACATTAGAACGATAGGCTCGAAAATTTCAAAACAGTTATTAATGTTTCTTGCAATTCGTTATTATCTTTTTCATAATTTATTATATAAAAAAGGTATGAACTAACAAATCCTTGCATATAATTAATTTAGTTAAAGGTAATGAGATAATGTGGAAAACAAATAAGAAATACCGACTATGTAATAACTAATTAATTCATAAAAAAAGCCTATTAACTTCACGTAAATTCAAATTAAATAAAACACAGTACTGAATTACAAAAAATTAATGCCTTGAGAAGACCCTTGGCAAGTCAATTCCGGTTTTTGATATGAAAATATGTAAGTATATGAAGTGCAGGTAGGTATCTGCACAGTTTTTTGTGCATTTATTCTGCAAACAGTAATTTGAATAAATTCTGGGTGACAGCTACATACGTAAATCATCAAGAGTTTGTATTTACGTTGGATCTTAGCCAAGCCAATCTGTTAGAAAACTAACCTGGCACAATAATCATCGAAAAAATAAAAAATAATTTTAAAAACCGTGAAAATTAGGGAAATCACCCAAATTGATTTCCGCAGAAAACTAAAATGAATATATTCGATTGTGAGTATGGTTGCAAAAACAACAAATTGTTGCTCACATTTTATACTGAACTTATGGTAAACCATATTAAAATTGGTGACAAACAGTTGCATCATACGTTATTTTTGGACCAATGTAATCACAAGTTTTACCGCATCCGGCATACAAGTTACTACCTACCTACAATCCCCAAAAAGTTAGATGTAACTTATATACGTACACCTAGTATAAGTATTTTTAAGAATTGACACATACCAGTTTTCCAGATACCATTTTCAAAAAGGTTTATCCAATAGGGTAAAAAAATTCACAAAAAAAAACACTAGAAACCTCGCGAAGTATACGAACTCGACAAAGCACAAATGCCGGTTAACAGACTAACACCAGCCAAGTGGCTAAGTACTGTTGCGAGCGCTTTTGAACTTGTATCCAACAAGAGCTCGCTGATTGGCTGTTACACTGACTGACTTCTGCGCGATCTCGTTTTTTAATGGAACCCTGGCGACTGAAACGCACCTATGCAACGGTCAAATGTACCTACTTGCGCGTATCTTTCCAGCAAAGTTGCCAATTTTCCAAAAAGTCATTAAAAATTGTTGAAAATTGATTACAAAATGTAAAAAACATCAAAAACTGCAATAGTTCGCTATAGTCAAATCTTACTGACAATGAGAGAGTCTAAAGCTCACTAAATATATGAGTCGAGCCAAACAAAAATATACCTGGAGAAAGGAAACAATATACAAATTATGCATCAAGGGAAGAAAGCACATTCCATGGGTCAATTGCCATCCGAGCCGAAAGAGAAGGCGACGTACTTTCTTCTGAAGGTCCGAATACCATTATCTGCCATACACCTGCCCGAAACTACAAATTTTCCTGATTTCAGGGACGAGAAAGAGCAGCAAACCACCCAGATAAGAAATCGCAGCTATTGTTTATTGGGACAGTATTTTAACATCCTCGCGAAGAAACCATGTAGGAATGTAGGGGATGATAGTATTAGTATAATACGCAACAAGAGAAGAAACTCTGACATTTCCTCTCGGATTCATGTGTTAATTGCCACCCGAGCCGAAAACCAAGGCGGTTAAACTATCGCGAATGGACGTCTTACTTTCTTCTTAGGATTAATATACGAGTTTCTGCCATATGCCTGCCCGAAACTACAATTTTTCCTGATGTCGAGGACGAGAAAGCGCAGCAAATTACCAAGATAAGAAACTGCAGTTATTGTTTATTAGGATAGTATTTTAACATCCTCGCGAAGAAGCCACGTAGAGGATAGTGATAGTATCATACGCAACAAGCGAAGAAAATCTGACATTCCTTCTCGGATCCATGTGTTAATTGCTACCCGAGCCGAAAAACAGGGCGGTAAACTATCGGGAAAGGACGTCTTACTTTCTTCTTACGATTAGTATACAACTTTCTGGCAAACACCTGCCCGAAACTACAATTTTTCCTGATGTCGAAGACGAGAAAGCGCAGCAAAATACGCAGATAAGAAATCGTAGTTATTGCTAACATCTTCGCGGAGAAACCAAGTAGAGGATAGTATTAGTATAATACGCAACATGCGAAAAAGTCTGACNAGTGATGTCGAAATTCGAAAGTAGACTTAAGCAACCCTTATGCCTTTTACTTAAATTAGTTCCTATAGGCTATGGATTGCAGTATAAAAACGCTATTTTTTTCATTTTTATTCATAATAACGTATATTTAAACCGCATAATAAATGATGAAATTTTACCTTCTTACGATTAGTACACCACTTTCTGCCATACATCCTCCTGAAACTACAATTTTTCCTGATGTTGGAGACGAGAAAGCGCAGCAAATTACCCAGATAAGAAATCGCAGTTATTGCTAACATCTTCGCGAAGAAACCAAGTAGAGGATAGTATTAGTATAATACGCAACATGCGAAAAAGTCTGACATTTTCTGTCGGATCGATGTGTCAATTGCCACCCCAGCTGCAAAACAGGGCTCGAAAATATCGGGAAAGGACGTCTTACTTTCTTCTTACGATTAGTACACCACTTTCTGCCATACATCCCCCTGAAACTACAATTTTTCCTGATGTTGGAGACGAGAAAGCGCAGCAAATTACCCAGATAAGAAATCGCAGTTATTGCTAACATCTTCACGGAGAAACCAAGTAGAGGATAGTTTTACTATAATACGCAACAAGCGAAGAAAGATTGACATTTCCTCTTGGATTCACGTGTCAATTAACACCCGAGCTGAAAAACAGGGATCTAAACTATCGGGAAAGGACGTCTTACTTTCTTCTTACGATTAGTACACCACTTTCTGCCATACATCCCCCTGAAACTACAATTTTTCCTGATGTTGGAGACGAGAAAGCGCAGCAAATTACCAAGATAAGAAATCGCAGTTATTGTTTATTGGGATAGTATTTTAACATCCTCGCGTATAGAAACTACGTAGAGGATGGTAATAGTATACTATCCAATAAGCGAAGTACAGGAGGGAATACCCGGACCATATATTAATTGTCACCTGAGCCGTCTGAGAGGGTGGTAAACTACTGAAAAGAGGCGCCGTACAGCACCTCCAAGAGTATGACTTTTCCTAATTTCATAGGCGGGAAAATGCAACATATGTTCAAAATTTGCTACTTTTATTCATATAGGAGCGAACTCAAAAAACAATTGTTTTATTATAAATTAGGTATCGAACAATAAAAGCACCCAACATTTTTGAATATGAAAGCACCGCTTGTTTTATTCGGCAACGACGTTCGTAGGATGATGATTTTGACCTCGACTTGACCCTGACAAATGACCAATGAAATGTGACCGGCCCTATCACGACTAAACAGGATTCTTAATTTTTTTTTTAACAAACCATTGCAACCGCTTTTATCACTACAAATTTTCATTTTTCTTTTTAATCTTATTCATCTTGCACACTGTAAAGATAGGTACAAAAGTAAGAGAAACCAANCAGGATTCTTAATTTTTTTTTTAACAAACCATTGCAACCGCTTTTATCACTACAAAGTTTCATTTTTCTTTTTAATCTTATTCATCTTGCACACTGTAAAGATAGGTACAAAAGTAAGAGAAACCAACAAATCCTTACATCATTTTGTGTTCTGAGAACCGGTTTAACTATAGAAAAGGTAAATACCTATTAACCTTCGATTGGCGCAAATAATGACATTAATTGAAAACACCAACAGGGAATGACTGTTTCAAGTAATTAGCGATAAAATTTAATAAATGCAGGAAATAGTTACAAACAATAGCTAGCAAATGTAACTATAGAAAGTATGAAGCGTAAACAAATGATACCTATATTGAACGGCTAATTAACAAATAGTATACTTCCTTAAAATATGCACGTATATTATTAAAAAAGTAGCAAAAAATATGGCAATTTTAATAATAATTAAAAAAAAAAATACTCACCGATTTCGGCATTTTGGGGAATTATTCTACACCTGCAATCAAAAGGAAAACCCACATTAATAACAGTAGGTAGTAAAAAAATTGACTAGGTAGATATATTTTTCTTTGCAAGCAGGTATGTAAGAATCTCTATTATAGATGCAACAACTTTGGGGAAAGGTGTGTAAGTACAAAAATGTTCTAATTTAACAATTACCTACTCCATTCGTGGTACATTTTGCATAGGTAATACCTACCTAATGGACAATTTGTTATCTATGCGCATCACGTGCAATAATTTAAACTTTTTAAGATACAGTGGATAATAATCAATCCCTTCAAAATAAACCAATTAAATAAATATCTATTATAGTCAGTTAAAAGCCATCAGTGATGCATTTGTATGTACATAAAAAAATCAGCAAATTACTCATTAATTAACCAACGACTATAATTTGAGGTTAGACTACTAAATGTCACACAAGAAATAAAATCAAAACGAAATGTGCACAAGGTACGTGACAACTCTTATTTGCCTGTTGAACAGTCATTAAAAGAATTTCACCTGGCAGAGCACTCGATGTTTGAACAGGTGTCTATGGAAAGTTTTAAAGTAAGGTGGAAGTAATTTAAGTCCAAGAAACAGGTAAATTAGGAGAATTGTCAGCAAATATAATAGAAAAACAAACGGTAAAACAAAATTCCAGTTTAGTCATAAACCGCGGATTATATCCATGGTGTTCGGTGTCACGTTTAACTTGTTAATACCGCCAGGTAAAGGCAATGCCGGTATGATTATAAATATGGCGTACTGGACCCATAAAAAATACTTACAATGTTTTAAATCAGCAATACAATACTATTCACCGACAACAAAATCAAAATAATGTCCGTTGCATGCGTACAAGGTATAACCGCAATTTTTCATGCACACACCCTTCTCACTCGCGATACAAGCTTAACGTGACAAAATTGACTCAGCGAAATGTAATGGGTAGTTCGCCCAGATTCCACTAGGAATTCAACAATAATTTCTAAATTACATTGAGGAGCCCTCTATCGAAGAATATTAAAAGAAAAGAAATAAAAAGGTACAGGTAGCGCCATCATACGCCATATCGCCCAAATTGTAGTTTAGCTAAGTTTTTCACCTGTAAACATTTAAAGAAACCTATACTAATAATAGCAAACATGTACGACATGGCTGTTAGATGGCGCTACTACGAAACATATACTAGTTATACCCGTTTATAGATACTAGTTCGAATCGTTTAAATATAAAACAGATTAAATAAATAATTATCACATCGACAATTATGCAAGTATAATATAAGAAAACATTACGCGAAAACGAGAATTATAGTCATTTTACAAGTAATTTAGACATTTCTACAATTAGCATGCATTTCAAGGAAACTTTTTTGGAAAACAAACAAGTGACCCCATCAAAGTTGCATTATTTCCTTAGAAATACTAAACCACTAGAGAATTATAAAATGTTTTAACAAATTATATACTTTTTCCTGTTAAACTAGTTTACCACACTGCTTTTTAGTTGACCAATTTTTCATAAGGTTTTGGTGAATTCAATTTTTAATAATCCGACAGATATAAGACAAACATTTTATTTCATACTTATTAAAATATATTTTAAAAATACTTGAACTACCTAAAAGTCATGTGTAACTAAATGAACAACATTCTTTTTCGAACTTGCCTGTTAAAACTGAGAATCATACTTTCTAATGTACATACATAAGAATCACTAAAGTGTACAGTTGAATAGAAAAGGCTCATAAAAATCATAATTACCATTTCGAAATTGAAACTTGAATAACTAAATATTCCTACGGCTGGTGTTGTGTCTGTCTGTGGTGTCTCCTTAGCGAACTTTTATCAGTGAAAATTTTATCACAGTCTCTACATTTAAATGTCTTCCCTGTATGTGTCACCAAGTGACGGCTCAGTCCAGATGCATGACAAAACACTTTAGGACACAGTGAGCAGTAGTGCAACTGTATATCAGTTGGATTGGGATTTAAATGTGATCGTAAATGAACCCTCAGAGGTTCTTTCTGTGTAAAACCTTTTGGACAGTGGGGGCAATTGTATGGCTTTTGTCCTGTGTGTGTCATTAGATGGCGAAACAAAATTTCTTTTTGTGCAAAACTTTTTTGACACACTTCACACTGAAATGGTCTTTCTCCTGTATGAATACGTTCATGTCTTATTAATGCAGACCTTGTTGGGAACCATTTCTCACAGATACCACAACTAAATCCTCTTTGCTGCATGTGTACAGAAGCATGTCTTCTTAGTTGTATTCTTCTAGAGAATGATTTTGGACAATCAGGGCAATGGAATATTTTCAGCTCACCATCCTCATCATTCTCCTCATCTACATAAGGCGGAAGTTTAATATCCACTTCATCTTCTGCTGTTAATTCCATTACAACCACTGAACCATCTGCTGTAGTTACTTGAACTTGGGTTGGTTTTCCTGGCTGTTGATCAACTGTCATTTGTAATTCACCACTGATATTCAAATCAGGATGTGATGCTAATGTTTGTTTAACAGCATCAGTTATTGCATCTAGATCTTGTTGTTCTAATGATTGCTGATTGGTAAACTCTGAAGTTTCTTCATGCTTTCCTAGCAGGTACATATTATTCGATTCTACAAGAAACAGAATAAACATCTAATTGAAATGATAAAACAGTTTTATATTTTAACACATACCATCATCATATTCCTCTTGTGAGTCACCATCTAATTCAACAACTTCTTTCTTCAATGGTAAATTGTTGATTGTGCAAGCATCCTTGTTGATATTATCTGTTTCAATAGGTAAAGTGATACTTTGTGGGTCTTCATCTGGGATCTCTACTTCTGGTTCGATATAAGTCACTTTAGGTAGTCCGACTAAGTCCTGTTCAGAATTCATTTGTTCTCCCACTACAACACACTCTTCTTTCTCATGTTCCTGAGCTTCAGACTCCACAGTTTCAGTTACATCCATTTCTGACACTTCAACATCACCAATTCTCTCATGCAACATTTTCAAATGTTGACGGAGTTTCATGTCAGATTGCTCACATTTTTTTCTGAAAATGTACGACTTTTCCAGTTGAAACTTGCAGGGGTGACAGATTTTATCTGGGAGTCCATCACCTTCAAATACCTACAAATATTAAAAGCCAATTCGACATACGAATAATCTATAAATATGTTACAATTTTATAATACCCACCTCCAACGACACACACGCCATAATTCGAAGTGTAAGAGGCACAGTATCTTGGTCACTGAAAATTGGAACGAGTTCATCTTCTTTTGTCATACACAAACGACACAATTCATTTAAATGTAAAATAACTTCCTGTTGCTCGTCCGGCTTTTTTCGACTGTATGTTTTCATCATTGGTGTTGGTAAATAAGGATACGAATAAATTGAAGTAAAATGATAATCTAGGTTTCTTTCCCTAGAAGATAACTGACGCGCACTACTTTATCGTTTATCGCTTTATGACAACGCTACAGCATATAATGGAATCTAGTCTCGTTTGCGCACGCAACTGTTGATTTCATAACACCGCGGGAAAATTTAAAACGGCAATTTAAATATGTGGCGGGAAATGTAACAGATAATTTTTTTTGAGATTCTCTGCTATTTGTGTATGAGTAAACGAACGTAAAGCAACGATAAGATACTATTTTTATACAAAAATAAAGAGAACATAACAACTAATGCGTTGTAATAGTTTTTAATAACACTATATTAGAAAACAAGATAAAGCAAGCCTATAAAACTGCATCGAAACGCATATACATATATTAAAATGATAAAGTTGTTAAGGTTAAAACACAAAAGTTAAATATAAAATAATTATGCAGTATGGGTTTGTTCACAAGAGCTATTATAAGTGAATATTTAAGGCCTTCCTTCATTTGTGTGTATAATTTTACACGTTTGTTATGTTACAAAAGTGATATTGTAATTGAATCTAATTATCCAAACGTGAATGTACCGAATATTACAATAAATGAATTGCTGTGGGACAAATTTGCGACATGGCCAGACAGACCAGCAGTGGTTTGTATAATTCAATTAATAAATAATAGTCATAATCTTTCAGAGAAATGAAATAAACACTTGCTTTCTTATTTGTTATTAATATTTTTCAAAATTATTTAACCGCGGAAACATTAGAAGTTTTAATTATCTTTATTTGAACTCTATACTTACGTCTTTGCTTTACCCGCAGATGTATGTATATGCAACCAACTATACCTCTGAGTTTGACAGTAACAGCATGCGATTAGAATATAAGTATATGCAACCAACTACACACCCTAATAGGGACATTTAGATCCACCTTCATTTTTCTAAAGGAATACGTCAAAATTAATGGTTTTTAATTAAGATTATAATTAAGTGATGTCGAAATTCGAAAGTAGACTTAAGCAACCCTTATGCCTTTTACTTAAATTAGTTCCTATAGGCTATGGATTGCAGTATAAAAACGCTATTTTTTCATTTTTATTCATAATAACGTATATTTAAACCGCATAATAAATGATGAAATTTTACAAAACTCTAGTTTTTAAACATTAAAATAGATCGCCTTTTGACGTTTCCCAGAATTTTTAACGGAAAAGTGAAAATTTCGATAGCTTTGTCCGACTAACTGAGAAATGGACGGTTTGCAGTTTAAAATAAATTAAGATACACGATTAAATTAATTAAATTGTAGGTATGTTCAGAAACTGGAAAAACGTTAACATACAACGATTTCTTCAAAAAAAGTCGAAAACTCTCAGGTTTCCTACAGTCTAAACTGAAATTGAAAAAGGACGATACTATTGCCCTTGTTCTACCAAATATTGCAGACTTCGGTGTCATTGTCTTAGGAGCAGTAGATGCAGGATTGAAAGTAACAACGATCAATCCACTATATACTAAAGGTTAGCAGAATTATATAAATATAAAACAAATCGATTTTTAAGTTTGTTTTTAGACGAAATCAAACGTCAACTGAACGATTGTGGAGTAAAAGCGGTTTTTTCGTTAAATATTATAACGGATCTCATTAAAGAAGTTATTAAAACAATAAATAATAGCATAAGTGTGATAAGCGTCGGTATTCAGGTTGGTAGATGTATTAACTGCTAAAAATCAAAATTTCTAATTTAATTAGATATTATTATCATATAACTATGTCTTTTTGCACCATAGAGAAACGAACCCGTTAGTTCTGGAATCATAAAGTTTCATGAAATAACCGAAAATTCCACTTTTGAATTTCGTCCTGTATCAGGAAATGCTGACGATGTAGCTTTCCTGCTTTATTCCAGTGGAACAACAGGTCTACCGAAAGGAGTAGAACTAACACACAAAAATATAGTTTCCAATGTTTTACAACAGTCGAGTCATGAACCATTGGATTTGTTTAATTTATATGAAAGTAATTCCAAAACCATAATTTTTCATCTAAAATTAAGATACCCATAAACTTAACGCGAATGTTTCTGAATATGATAAAATGGTAACGTTTGACTGGTTTTTTTTTACTATTTTTACATCACTGTAAAATCTTCGTGTAACATTCCGATAATTTTCTTCATTTAATGTAGATATTTTGTTGATTAGTTTTGGAAGAAACTAAAACTGTAGGCTTACTTTTTTAAGATCGAAGAAATATTAGTAACAAATGGCTACAGATGGCGTTTACTGCCTCATTTGTAGTATTTTCTAAAACGCACTGTTAAGGCAGCAGGTAAAAGTTGGTCTGTGTTCTGTCGGAGCTGTTTGCGCCGCGCTGATGAGATCCAAAAAGATCGAAATCGCGATCCGCGTCTGGCAGTTTCGACAGAATACAGACCACTTCGAATTATTTTATTAGTAACAAAATTTATGTGTAATGATAGGAAATGTGGTGTCAACGTCTTTGGCGTTTTTTCACAGCGGAGGCCTATCAGTAGCCTTATTATCCTGGTATTCTGGTTCAAAGCTTATAGCTGCACCCCGTATTAACACAAAAACTTTGACCGATCAATTTGAAACGTACAAACCGAATATAGGAGTGTACACCCCCCTTATAGGCAAGTACAGAATTAATCGCTTACACCTGTAACACAATATTAACGAAAATAAGCCACAGATATGAAACATCTGAATTTTAATAAAAAGCTTCAAGTAGCAGGATGAAATTAAAGATTCAACTCTTTCTCAAACAAATAATTACAGTACATGTTAACAAAACAATTAAAGAAGTAGATTTTTAAAAGTAATTAAGAATTGGATAAAAACAACGTTAAACAGTTAATTTTTTCTTCATATCTAGATATTTTCATAAAGTGGCCAACCGTCCCAATAAGAGATGCTTTATTTATTATTTTGTTTCTAGTTTTTCATAAAATAGCATTTCATAATTCTGAAACTTTAATAAAATTTTTTATTTAGTTCAAATGTTAACAAAAAACAACAACTTTACACCAAAAATAGCCGAATCGTTAAAAATAGCCTTATCGGCGGCAGCCCCTTTGGGTGGAACTGATATCGAAAGATTTTACGAAAAAACGCAAAATCAAGTGCGTATAATTCAGGGTTACGGATTGACTGAAGCATCCCCCGCAACACACAGAGTACCCCTAGATGCCCAGAAAGAGAAGATAAGATCGGTGGGTGTTTTGTTACCGAATACGAAAAGTAAAATTATTCCAATCGATGGTAATGACACAAACGGCTTACCAGTGATGCAAACTGGAGAAATTTTGATAAAAGGTCCCCAGGTACCTACGCCACTATTAATTATTATTAATCATTCAAACTTCCCAAATTATAAAGTTGTTTCTAATGAATGAGGAATGAAGGAAATGATAAGATTGAAAATGGTCAAAGAAAATTATTTTCACAGGTAATGAAAGGTTACTTTAAAAATCCAAAAGCTACTAGCGAAATTTTCACTGACGATGGCTGGCTAAAAACAGGGGATGTGGGATATGTAGATGAAGATGGTTACCTTTATATTACTGACAGGATAAAGGAATTAATCAAAGTAGGTACCTATAATACGAACATTAATTTTTTGGAGGTGTGCTATTTTAGGCAACATTTCGTCTTCATGGTTGATTCATCATCAACATAAGGTCGTCAGTCCTAAGACTGGTCGGACACGGACCTTCAATTTTTCCTATCCTGAGCTAATCTTCACATTTCCCTAACACTAGAACATCCCACAGTAATCTAATCTAGGTCTACCTCTGGTCCTCTTAACTGCCTGTAATACGAGGTTTCGGCCTAACCAAGAGATGACGCCACTAGGCCTACCTTGAGGTGACATTCTATAGTACCATCCTTGGATAGCTTGTAGCTATAGTTTCAGCCCGATCTCCTTGCTAGTGTAGGTTTGACAGCACGCTGAACAAGACGCCTCTGTGGTTTTCGTAAAAATGGAAAAGCAGGAAAATCGTGCTGTCATCAAATACTTTTATTTGAAGGGGTTAACGCCGAAGGAAATTAAAAAAGAGATGGACTCAACACTGGGGACATCCTCCCCGTCATATTCAACCGTTAAGCAGTGGGTTTCCGAGTTTAAAAAGGGTCGTGTGAGCACCTCTGATGGGCCTCGCTCAGGACGCCCCGTTGAGGTCACAACTCCAGATATGATCGAAAAAATTCATCAAATAGTGCTGGGAGACCGCAGATTGAAAGTGCGTGAGATAGCTGAGACCTGTAAGATGTCATATGAACGTGTGCAACATATTTTGCACCAACATTTGCATATGGAAAAGCTCTGTGCAAGATGGGTGCCGCGTTTGCTAACAGTCGACCAAAAATTGATTCGAAAAAACATTTCTACCGCAAATTTGTCATTGTATAAGCGTAATCCAAGCGAATTTTTGCGTCGATTCGTAACCGTTGACGAAACGTGGGTCCACCACTACACTCCTGAAACCAAAGAACAGTCTAAACAGTGGATTGGACCAGGGGAACCAACTCCAAAGAAGGCAAAAACAATTTTTTCGGCGAACAAGGTTATGGCTACTGTTTTTTGGGATGCAAGAGGTATTATATACATTGATTACCTTGCAAAGGGTAATACTATCACTGGTCAATACTACGCAGACTTATTGCAACGTTTGAGCCACGAGGTGAAAATTAAACGACCTCATCTGGCGAAGAAAAAAATCTTGTTTCATCACGATAACGCACCAGCGCACACGTCAATCGTTGCGACGGCTAAAATCAACGATCTAAAGTTTGAATTGATGCCGCACCCTCCTTACTCTCCAGACCTAGCCCCGAGTGACTATTTTCTGTTCCCTAATCTCAAAAAATGGCTTGGCGGTAAGAGATTTGCGGACAATGAAGAAGTAATCGAAGCTGTAAATGGTTATTTTGAGGAGCTTGACGAATCAGTCTATAGAGATGGCATTAATAGACTGGAACACCGCTATGAGAAATGTATCAGCCTTGGAGGAGATTATGTTGAGAAATAAAAAAAAAAAAATTTTAAAAACCTTGTTTTTCTTGGTCAGGCCGGAAACTTATCAATCCACCCTCGTATGTCTCTGACTAGACCATCAAGCCTGAGAAGGTGTCCTACATATGCTCGTATTCTTTCTAATACCTCTTCATTTCTAACCTTCTATATCCACAGTATCCTCATCATTCGCCTGTAACACCACATTTCAAACGCTTCTAACCTTTTTTCGTCGTGCTCCAAACCTACAACTTTAACAATCTTTTTGGAATTTCCAAATTAACGTTCGCGAGCATAGAAGTGACTCGACCTGGCGCTATCCTTTGCTTTATATCCCTGCTACTCCTTCCGTCCTGACTTATCTGACTTCCTAGATACCTAAAATCAGCCACTACTTCTAATCTTTCGTCTCCTATCTTTATATTCGCTCTTCCCTTGCATATCAGTATTTGTGTTTTACTTTTGTTTATTTTCATACAATACTGTTTTGTCAATACCCCTACGAAATTTTTTAGCAGGCACTAATTTATCCCTATGCCTTAATGTACTAAAGTTAAAATTACAAGTACAAAATGTTCTTATTACGACAGTCACCATAAGAATTTCGTGATGATAAATAAGACAGAATTTTCTTCTGGCAAATCGTATAAAACTCATGTGTTTTGTTACAGGTAAAAGGTTTTCAAGTGGCACCAGCAGAATTAGAAGAAATACTACGCGATCATCCGTCAGTTGAGCAAGCGGCCGTTGTAGGCACTAAACATGAACGATTCGGGGAAGTACCGAAAGCGTTTCTAGTTTTGAAAAAAGATCATCGAATATCAGAAGAAGATATTAAAGAGTTTGTGGCTAACAAGGTGGTTACTTATAAGCAGTTGGAAGGTGGAGTTGTTTTTCTGGAGGACTTGCCCAAAAGTAACACTGGGAAAATATTAAGAAAAGAACTTAAGGGAAAGTGAAATGTGTTCATCTAATTCTTTAGACAAATGCAAGGATTCAGTGTCTTAGATATTTATGTAAATATTATACATATGTAGCTGAAAAGGTGCTCAATTTATAAATAATAAAATNATTATAAGGTCGTCAGTCCTAAGATTGACTGGACTTGAACACGCACCTCCATCCTGACCTAATCTTTGCATTTTCCTAAAACTATGAAATATCCTTAACAATTTGGAAACAGTAATCTAATCTAGGTCTACCTCCACTCCTGTTAAGTATGTCTCTGACTAGACCATCAAGCCTGAGAAGGTGTCCTACCAACCTATCTCTCCTATTCTTTCTAATACCGCTTGAGTTCTAACCTTTTCTATTCACGGTATCCTCATCATTCGCCACATTTCGAACGCTTCTAACATTTTCTCTTCTCTTCTCTTCCTTCTCAAATCTCTAAATTAACCGTTCGCGAGCATAGATGTGACTTCTTTTTATTGAAGGCGACACAACCCTGCGCTATCCTCTGCTTTATACTCCTACTACTCCTTCCGTCCTGTGGCGGTAACAGTGTGCATCCTTATCTGACTCCTTTTCTAATATTTGCTGCTCCAGCTCTATGACTGTCTGTTGCTCTTTATACAAACTAAGTATCACTCTTTTATATTTTTAACTCATCCCTACTCGACATACGATCTCTAACCTCTTGTCCTGCATGTTTTAAAATTTCCGCCTATATCCTATCTATATCTGGTGCCTTATTATCGTTTTAAGTTCTTTAATGCTACATCGAACTCTTCTCTCACTATGGGATAATCTAGTTTATCTATTTCCACACCATCTTCCTTCTCTAATATATCTCCTAAGTCATGGCCTACGTATAGGTTCTTTAAATATTCTTCCACCTATATGCCTTTTTCTCATTTTCTTTCCGAAAAACCCGTAGATTGGAGATTGAAAAAGCTTTGGCAGTTGTTGTAGAACAAACTAAAATAGCTCAAACCCCAAAGCCAAAACACGACACTGTTGTGTCTCAGGCACTTTTCGGTAACAAGGTTACCTTCTTCAGTGACTGAAGTGAACTAAACCTAAACGGGAACTAATCTTTATTTTTATACTAATAGTTGTTAAGGTTCAGTGAACATGACCCCATGACAACAAGGTTGATGTTCAATGGACCTTAACAATCGTAAAAGTTTTCTAAGAAAAATCGGGGATGTATGAAATTAGTTGTAATGACTGTAGTAAAAAATATATTGGACAAACTAGACGCTCAATCAAAACTAGATTTAAGGAACATTTAGCTCATGCACGGTCTGGTAGAGAAGAAAAATCTAGTGTTGTCCAACATATATTTACTGAAGAACATAATATTAATATTAATAATCTTAAGTAAGTGAGGGAAGTTATTCTGTTTCTTTTACAAGAGGAAGATGCTTAGATCTCTTTCCACAATACTTTGTATAGAGCTCCTTCTGATTCCCAGTTGTAGAGAACGCTATCTAGGAGAAAATGTCGAATCTTGGACTACATTTTCAATATTCTGCTAGGGATGGACCTTCCAGAAATATAAAGACAAACTTACTTATCTGTTAGTTGCTCACCATTTCACTACATTAACTTACATTGAAATGCCAAACAGTTTGAATTTATTTCTAACAGCTCTAATGTTTAGGAATGGATTTTTGGNTTTTATTTTTTAAAGAGCAACTAATGACAAGTAAAAAGTTCTGCAATATTTATTAATAGGTAACCTTACATTCGACAAAAACGCATCAAAACGCACATATGGAAAAGTTCAAAAACTTCAACGTTTTTAAGGAACATGCTTATGTTTCCGAGTGCTACTACACGCAAATTTTTAAAGTCTGTATCCTGGTAGTTTACGGCAACGTCCAGCTCAATTGCTGGACGCCGTTGATATACAGCGCACGACGTTCATTTTCCGGCAGTCGAACGTTAAGACACTGCCACGCCGGTCGGTAATTCCCTTTGGAACTAAAATATACATCGATACGTTGATTATCGCAGGTAATGTCCCATTGCAGCCACAGCGCGCTCCCCTTCTGCCAATTGTTGGATTCGCCATCGTCTTCGAACAGTAACCCTCTATCTTGGCCCTTACCCAGCGGTGGAAACAGAAGCATATCGCGACGATCATCAGCTGAAGGATCGACATGCGACGTGCGTCCAGAAAGCGGTAGCATTGCTCCGGCACGAACCAGCAATGGTAGACGTTCCAACGGCGCGTCCACCGTGATGGTTTGCCCGCCGCTGATCCAGGAGCCACTGTAAAAGTCATACCAGCCGAAGGTATTGAGCGGCAAGTAAACGTCGCGCCGTCGCTGCCCTTGTTCCACAACACTGGCCACCAGTAGGTCCCGACCGAGCATGAAATCGTCAGTTTCGGCGAATGTCATCGGATCGTGCTCATGATCAAGGAACGTGGGACGCAGCATGGGCTCGTCGTCCTGACTAGCTTGCCACATTAGCGTGTAAAGATAAGGCAACAGGCGATAACGCAGAACAATCGCATCCCGGATGGCGGGGGTGACTGAAGGATACATCCAAGGCTCATTCACCGTGTGATCGTCGTTCCACGAATGGATGGTGAAACGCGGATGCATTACCCCGTTCTGCACCCACCGGACAAATAACTCGATGTCCGGCTTTTCGCCAGCAAAACCCCCCACGTCGTGCCCTACGTTGTACAGCCCGGAAAGGCTCATGCCCAGTCCCATACGAATGTTGTAACGCAGAGTTTGCCAACTGGTGTGGTTATCACCACTCCAGGTTTGTACATAGCGCTGCATTCCCGCGCACCCCGACCGGGAAATAAGGTAAGGGCGTTTGTTCGGAGCAAAATTCGTCTGGGCATCCATAGACGCGCGCATCATAAGCAACGCCATCACCGGACGGATATGCTTGACGGCGATCTCCTTGCCGAAGCCGAAGCAGCGCGCTTCGCCGTCCCACACTTCGTATTCGTTGTTGTCGTTCCACGTAGCGTCAATGCCCATTTTCAACAGTTGAGCCGTGATGTTGTCCTGCCACCATTTCACCGTCGCCGGGTTGGTGAAGTCTAAATGAGAACCTTCATCGCCCCAGAAGCTCGATATTTCTGGCTTGTCGGATTCGGAATCGCGAATGAACAGTTTCTTTGCAGCAACCTCCTGGTATTTTGGATGGTCACGCAATAGACATGGCTTAATATTAGCCGCCAGTTTGAGCCCCAAATGATGAAACGCCTGAGATACGGCTTGCGGCTGCGGAATCTTGTCGTAGTTCCAGTTGAACACATAACGCTTATTGTTGATTGAGGTATAGCCGGAAGAAAGTTGAAACGAATCGCATGGTATATCGTGTTCGCGACACAGTTCGATGAACTTCATCAATTGAAGCGCTGCGTCAGGCGCGTCCGTGTACTGCATAGAGGAACCGCTGTATCCCAGACTCCACTTGGGACCGAAAAGCGTTTTCCCGGTCAGACGTACGAATTTTTTCGTCACGTCCAGAATCCGCGGTCCCAAGAATAGATAGTAATCTAAATCACCTGCTTCGGCGTGATAGCGACGGTAGGGAAGATGGTAATTGTCCAGTTCATTGCCCAAATCCAGTCGAGTGATGCTCAAATTGTCGTAGAACAAGCCGAAGCTCACGCCGTTGCGCCGGGTAATGGTAAAGGGAATATGTTTGTACAGCGGATCCGTTGAGGCAGCGTTGTATCCCATTGCATCCAGGTTGCGCATTTCAAAGCGACGACCGGTGCGGTTCAGGTCGCCTGACTTTTCACCCAATCCGTAGTAGCTATCGTTGGGATAACGGCGCTGATGATGCTCGACGCCGTCTCCGTGCGGGTTAAGTCGATAACCGTGGGTCGTGGAATCGGAGGCCAGCGGCTGCCATTTGCCTTTTTCATCGAGGTACTCCCATTCCAGCCACAGCGGCTGGTGTACCGTCATGCGCAGCTTAGACGTAGAAAAACGGAGTTTATTACCAACTTGTTCCAATATGAAACGTGGCAAATTGAATCCCGAGCTGCTTTCACGCGGACGTCCTTCCCAAGGCACGTCGCTCCCCTGGGGCGCGATGCTCCAGGTGCGATCCAACTGCAATTCTCCTTTACGCTTAATTAGTATGCGAAACAAATCCTCTTCCAGTACATAGATACAAAATAGGTGGTTACCGTCCACTTTGAGATCCACAAACCTGGCGGTGTGCTGATGCAACTCCCAATTTTTCAAAGTCTTCATATCAGCACTACCAACGACAAAACAGATTATTAAACGTGACGCGATTTCTGACGATGTTCGGCAATGAAGTGTATCAGGGACACTAATACAAACGAGAAACGAACAACTATCAGTTAAGAAATAATAGATAAGAAAGTAAAAATGACAACATGTATTATCAGTGTGATGCACTTTATCTACTTATGCTTAGTTTTGAAAAACAAAAAGAACGATAAAATGTTTCGAGTGTTTTTGCCATTAAGTGTTGTTCGTTAGAAATAAGTACCATACTTCTTACTCGCATCACTATCTTTGCTTTCACTCTCTCTTCTAGATCTACCTTCGAGTTTTTTGTAATCTTTTAATTTCATCTTTAACAATAATTCCAATCTTTAAGTTCAAGTTCACCTTATCATCATTTGTGTGTCCGAAAAGTAACAAATTCTTTTTCCTACTGCTATTGTAGTTCAGATCAATTGGATCAGGTGGAGGGGACTCAACTCCACAGTGCTTCCAGTACTAGGCAATGTTACGTGATCAAGTTCTGTGCTAAACCGAAAAAAAGCTTCTCTTTCACTCTAATTCAGGAAGCGTGCGTCCACTTTGCTCTTTCCAAATTAATATTCTTCAGTTTCCAGACGCTTTAAATTGATCGGGAAGGGATGGAATATGACGCCCGCTCTGGATAGTCATCAATCAGCAAAAGGGACAAAAATGTATCCAATTGTCAAATGAGTGTTCGGACGATAGCAGAGACTTTCAGCCCTCCAAAAAGAACTGTGCACGACCAATGGAGCCAATGAATCAATCCAAACCGTCGTGACAAGAACTTTACACAACGTCCTAGTCGACACCATCCAGGAAGCACAGAAAAATCGTTGGCAAAAGTGTTAGGATTCCTAAATCGAGAATTTTGAAAAATTTTAATCGACGAAAACACTTATGGCAACCGTCCTACTTTTATTGCCTTTGTACACCTTTAAAGTGTGGTTGCTTCATGTTTCCATGCTATCGAAAAGTCAGTGGTCCTCTGGGTAGTCCCTTTTAACGCACATGTCCAAGGCTAAGTAAGTGTCCTGGTATAGGAGCGTGCATCAGGTGGAGCCCCATAGTAACCTGATCTATCAGGGGGGATTTCGACGTGAAACGTGTAGGTATATGTCGATCGAGTGTGCACTCTGAATCATAAGGGGGGGCTGCACATTTTGGGTGAAAGCAGAGTAGACGGAAAAAATCATTTTAGCTCGGGTTAGGCAGGAGGCTAAAGTATCCTGAGAAAACGAGAATACAGCAAAACGAATGTCGTCCAACGAAGAGGGCGCCGGGTAGCCGCTACCCTTCGGAGTGCCTGTACAGGTCTAACTTCAGTTCCTCCCCGCCAATTGGTGTCATACCCGAAGGGGCAGTTCAAAGATAACCTGCATGCTGGATTAGGGGTTGAGCAGCGTGACACCAGATTCGTTGAATAGTCTCCTAGTTGAACGCTCATGGGTTTGGATAGATCCACTCCTTATTGATCTTCAGTCGCTACGGTGGCTTTCTGGAACCAATCCGTTTGGCGGAAGGGAAACCCCAGAGGTTCCTTCATTCCATCCTAGTGCAGCTGTGTCGGTTTGGAGTGTAGATAAGTCTTGCCAATGCGGGTGACGCACGTGATATCTTCATTAGTTGTACTTTATGTTACAAATAATTGATAACAGTTCTAGGACTTTCGGATTTTAGTTTGAACAAACAAAAAGATCGACAGACAAACAGGAGACAACTTAAAAAAAGTTGCATGCAAAAATCCTCAAATTTATGCGCATCTGTAAAATGCGAACCTCCTTTCTCTTGCCCTGTTGACTGACAAACTCCGTATGAGAAAAAAGTGCAATTCGTTTCTTTTTTCTTTTTCGTTTAGACCCGAACAAAAACTCCATTGACATATTCGCCATAAATTAACTGTACAAAGGCATTAAATACACACTTAGTTATATACACACAAACGTACGTACAAAGACACATTACATTTGTTGAAAGAGTCCATAAAACGATTGATTCGTCCTCTTTTAGTTTTGCATCAAACAACGCAAACTTGTAAACAACGAAAAGTGGCACAGAAGGCCAAGCAAAAATCAGCAAGTGCGTTTGCGTTAGAGACGTAATATTACCGCAATAAGTTAGTAGGTACTCAGAACACGTCGCATGTGAGGAATCCTTTTTACATTACGTACTTATTTCTTTGAATACAAGTTTGTAAAAAAAGGATTATCACTGATGGTTTTTAAGAAACAACTAATCGCAATTGTAATTAGGAAGATTAAAACTGAATTAGGTACACCTTTTCAATCATAAGCTAATCTTCGAGGGGTGTAATGCATATTATAATACAATAAAAATTAATTACCCACAAGTGTAAGCCTTATTCACAACAACGCGTTTCAAATATGCATATAAAAAGTATGCAAAGTGCAATGTGACATTAGCGGAAAATCTGAGATTAATCCTTAAACGAATAGAGGGAAAATCCGTGATGGGATGCTTTTTCATTTCATGGTTAGTTTTTCCGTCAAGGGCGTCAAAAGTTGACCAAACTTTTTCTTCAATAAGACTCGTTTCCGAGCATACTGAATTCGAATATCAAATTTTGATACAAATTCATTTTTTTTTTCGGTTTAACTTCACAACAACGCGTTCCAAATATGCATACCAAAAGCATGCAAAATGCAAAGTGACAATAGCGGAAAATCTGATATTAATCCTTAAACGAATAGAGGGAAAATCCGTGATGGGATGCTTTTCCATTTCATGGTTAGTTTTTCCGTCAAGGGCGTCAAAAGTTGACCAAACTTTTTCTTTAATAAGGCTCGATTCCGAGCATACTGAATTCGAATATCAAATTTTGATACAAATTCAGTTTTTTCGGCTTAATCACAACCTTTTCATTTCAAATGCTATTAGTAAAATTGTTTCGTATTCTTGTTAAGCATGCTAGAATCTATAGGAATCAACTTCCTAATCATCAAAATTGATTAAGTCAGATTAACTTTGACAGTCCTCGACGAAAAAACCTAATCATGTAATCGAAAAAAACTACTCAGGGACATCCCTTCTATTAATTCCTGTAGTAATCTCATACGTCCCATCTGGAAGAACAAATTGGCGTTAAGAGTGATCTGTGTTCTTTTGGTAAATTTGCACACATACTCTACATCTTTACCCGATTATTCAATAGCCCGAGAATTAATCCAAATACTTAATCGTTTTATGGTATTACGAAACGAAACGCTCTGTATGTCTTATATCGCAACTTCCTTCACTCACCAATACAGGTGTGCGAGGTAAGTTAAAACAAGGTAAATGCCAACAAGTCGCAGTGAGAACAGCGGCCGACGGTTCTTTCTAAATCCCGCAAGTAGTAGTGATATTTATTTAGTAGTTAGTAGTGGTTTGTCCGTAGAAGAAGTACGCTCTTAAGTCACAATTCGCTCTCCTCCGCGACCGACTCCTTTACCTTCGGAGCTTTCGCGAATTTTAACCGTGTGCCCCAGTTATCGAACTTCTCGGAGATGATGGACTTCGGCGAACGAACAGTCCTTACGATAAACCAGTCGATGGCATGTGAATCCCCGCGGGCCGTGCAAGCAAAGTAAGGAACTCTCAACAAGTACGTTTCGTAATCGCGGTGGTAACTCGTATTTTACATACATACGCATGTGACCTGGTAGATAACAAAGTGGTGGTTTGTGCGTCGAAGGATTTCGGAAAACCTTTTCATTATTTTGAAGTCGATCAAAAGGAGCTTATCAACGATAACCATAACATCTCAAGGTAAATAACAAAGTTTTGAATTTTGTAAAATTCGTTTTTATTAAGGGTCTATTAAAGCTCTAAATGATCCCACAAAGAACTTATGTTAATAGCAGGGTGTAAATATTGATGATTTCTATCAATCAGCATTGTTTAAAAAAATACGCGGATTTGAATTTATTTTCTTATAATCATGTAAAAGTATAAGTAGCTTTTAGGCATCACAAAAGCACTTAATAGAAATAAAAATTGAGAAAGAGATCTAAAAAACACCGAGGAGGAATTCAACCATCTATATAAGGATTCAAAGGCTTAACCAAAAAATAATGTATGCCGAATTAACTGATTTTTCAAGTTAATAAAATTGCATAAAAGTTCTTCTCGCAAATAACTGTATATGAAGCAAACAAGGGTAGTTAGCCAGAGGCAAAAATTACATATTCAAATCTATAATTCACGTTAAAATATACGTTCTGTAAATTATTATTCTGATCTTTGTTCAGTATTTAAATTCTGCAACAGTGGCTTTAAGAAAACCAACTTTCATCACGAATATCTTCTATGGTTGAAAGTTCAAAATAAACTGCCTTGCTCAAATGTAGTCAACAATATCGTAAATAACATTGATTTCTCTATTAACTTTCCTTAAACAACAATTTGATAATAGAAAGCAGCATGAGAATATTGAAATTCATTGAAAATATTGAACACAAACGAAGAAAAGTTAAGTTTTGGTTAAGTTCGAAAGGTATTATAAAAATATTATTATTTGCAAACTATTATGTATTATTATAAAAGAAAAAATTATGTATCTACATTAAAACTAAAGTTCAAAGCCCTTTAGACAAATTGAAAATATTAGTATACTTTTGTTAAAGTTGTGAATGAATTTTCAAAAGTTTGTAGACACATCAAAAGTTCTATTCGAATTTCATTACTAAACTTTCGTAGGCATTAAAGACTATCAAAAACGATTTCTTTTCCAAAAAATTCTTTATCTAATGGTGCTAAAAATAACGGTAACTCATTGGCACAGTTATTAGCTTATAGGTGTGAATTAGCCCAAATATTATATAATACTTGATTATTTAAATAGCATTTCTATCTTTCATCCAGTTATTCCATTCAGTAAATAAAAAGAAGAATCAAATTACGTTGCGCTAAATTTAACCAAGTCCCGTATTTTTTTTTTTTCGATTTTGAAGAGATCAATTTTTTAAAAATAACTTCTGCATCCTATCGCAGTCGTAATCCAGATAAAATGTACAAAGCTTTTTACTAAATGTTAAAATTTCAGAAACACTATTTTTAAAATAAATATACAATAAAGTTAATAGAACAAATGTTTCATACATATTTCCAGGTAGCTACACGACATTAAAAAGTATGACAGACAATTTAGAATTTGCGGTCTCTACGTGTCTTTTGAAATTTAATTGCTTAAACAATTAATTATTCATTTGACACAAACATAAAATACTGGTTCGGTATAACGAAAAGTGTTAGAAGTTAATTATGAAGAAATTTTCTATATACCTACATGTCTAATTTGTTATTGAATATACGTGGTTAAAATGCTTTGGTTTTCCAATCAAAAAAACTATTTGTAAGTTAAAATTCCTAATTAACATTTAAAGAAGGTCGTTTCTTACTCTGAGAAAGTTTTTGATTTTATAGATTGGACAGTACACAATTCAAAGTCATCATGCAATATTTACACTTTGGTTTCCATAAGGTAATGCAACAATTGCAATTTTATCATAAAAACCTTTCATTTAGATAGATCTCTTTACGAATAATGCAAGAAAAGGTCACTTTTATACTTACGATTAGTTATGTTATAAAATGTACTCACCTGGTTATAAGTGAAAGGTAGATACCGAGTCGTAATTTTTTTCATGGCCATCCACTTCCCAAACGATTCATTATTACACACTGTACAATTTCGGGCGCATACACTATATCATCTGGAATGTAAAGAAAGACTTATTATAACTGTTGTCCATATTACGTAATCTATTTACTGATACTTAATACAGATTAAGGAGTTGTTTGAAAATGTTAAAGAACAGAATCAGATTAAGGTGGAACTGCGGGAGGTACCGTAAGTGTGCATTCCTGTACAGCATAGAACCTCCACATTACAAAATGCTTTCACAAGAAGTCCTTTAAATAGTTGTGAACAAATATTTAAATGTTTTGATTAATTATAAACTATGAAAAAGGTTTCAAAAGAAAGTTCGTTTAGCTAAGAAGAATTTACAAATTAATAACTTAAAATAATGTTCAAATTCTTTCTTTCATACTTAACTCATGCCTCAGTATTTAGCAAAAGTACTGACTAAAGGACTGGAGTTAAGAAGACATAGTTTTTTATTTTTTATGATGATACCTAATAAGGACTAATATCGTAACAAACAGCTCATTTCGCGGGTTATTTGATAATTCAGGCAGTTTCTCTTTTACTATATAACTAAATAATTTATTTAAGTGAAGAAGTTTAAAAAAATATTAATTTCACAAACCATACTAATTTAATTTTTAAAAAACATTTCAAAAAACTATTTTGAAGGTAATTAAAAAGAATGGGGTCGTTTAATTTAAATGATTTAACGTATCAATCTATTAGAAGATTAACTACCAAGGGCGAATGAGGCCTTGAAAACATGGAAGGAAATAAAACCTAAATTCTTGCCAATGTGGAGTACCAAAACGGGATATATTCGTTCTGTTATTACAGTTATAAATTTGCGACCTTAATTCCAAATGGCTTTGATTCCTTCTGACATATTCTCACATGTAACTTAACACCGGAAGACATTTCAAAATCGCTAATTATTTTTTCCACCACAACGGTTTCTCTCTTCACCCATCATTGATGTCTCTTCTATCTGTTCTGCGTTTAGCCGAAATTTTTTCTTTTTATGTAGCACAAGAAGAACGAAAATGCACAATTTAGTGAAATTATGGAATATATTTTCAAACACATCATCAACATAACAAGGTCGTCAGTCCTAAGACAGGTTGGACACGCACCTCCACACTTCCCAATCCTGAGATAATTTTCGCATTTCAAAACTAGAACATCCCAAATCCTGAACTACTATTGAACACTAATCTAATATAGATCTACCTCTACTTCTCTTACCTCCTGTTTCTGCTTCTAATATGTCTCTAATTAGTCCTTCTTGCTTGAATACCACTATTTTTGTTTTAAAATTCAAGAAATGATGCAATAAAAAATCCCCATGTTCAGTTTCTAACTCGCCTCTAGCGTATACAAAGGTATTACAGAAAAATAATTATCACAGCTTTCCAAAGAACTGTTACATACGGGTAGGTAAGTGTACAATAATTTATTCAATTAATCTGAATATGAAATAACACTGCACTAAAGAAACTGTTATGTTTTTTTTTTACGATATTAAAATAGGATGCATAATACTCTTTGGAATTGCATCAGTTGTAAAACAATTTTCCTTCGATTAACTTTCATAATATACGCAGATAAACTAGATATGTCTGATACAGCCAACCGTGTCAAAAGAGCAAAAATGGTTAACTTATTTTTTTTTTTTATGTTAACCTTATTCTCCTGATTCCGCATTGCTAATGAAACGCTATCTCTATCATGTTAATTTGATAGGCTTCAACGATTAGATCATGTTTGGACCAACGCCTACTGCCTACCCGTTCCTTTAAAACGGTAAATAAATTTTTCCTCGCCGTCAGAGCTGTTCTAATTCTACGTGAAAACTACCGCTTGACATACGGCTTATAAGGCGTAGAAAACGGTGAAGGATTTGGAGATTTGTTAGTAGAAACTTTTTTCTATTTTTCAGTTTCTACATTAATAAATAAAATATTTAAATGAGTTCTTATATAAATCTGAGGATGATATAGTAATACTACCTATTACCATATTTATAGCAAGAAGTTAGTTACAAACAGAATTAATTAAAATGGAAGCGATATTAGAAGAAGAGTATGGAATAAATAAAAGCCAAAATAAAAAGGAAGTCGCCGATCTGTATGGGAAGTCAGATAAGTCAGAATGGTGCAAGCGTTAAAAACATAAAACAAAGAATATTACAAATTCTCGTCGCTTTTAATGTAATGGGCCTAACAGTTCATTTAGACCACGATCTTTCAACCCCGAATATATTTCTACCAAAGTTAAAAATATTGGAAAAAGGATAACGAAAAGGGGAGTTAGAATGATAGACCACCTTCAGAGATACTGGAAGACCTCTTTTTGTGATTATTCGTGTAGTAAAACTAGAAATCTCCGTTTTATTAATTAAAATTCTATTAAAAGTTATCTTTACTACACTGGCGTTAATGACTTTGAGTATTGATAGATACTTTGAGTGGTATAAGATAATAAATGCCATCATAAAAGAAATCAATATGGCGGATGCTAGCCGCCATAATGTCACATTCAAGTTTTAGTAAAAAGACAATTTCAAACAAACATCGTCGGTAATTTCTTGATTTTAAAACCTAATTTGCTAACCTTCATACTTATGCAATTAATACTGCTTCGAAACTATTCAAAGATGTTTCGATAAAATGCAACATTAGCAGATCTCAAATTTAATAACGTGGGAGTTGAGTAATAATAGTATATTATTCATGTATCGTACAATAACCAAAGAATTACACCTGTAAACAGGTACATTGCGTAGATCACAAACCAAGTAGACAGAAGCCTAAATTACCCAACTCTTTATTCGTTATAAAAGATGATGACAAACAAGAACCTGTTATCGTGAATCATCATCAGCTTCATGCATTATTAATGATATTCATGGCCGACTCGGACAACGGTATTGTTGTTAAGTAAACATTCAAATGGATGTTGGAAACAGCAAAAAAAATTCGCATATCCACAAGATTGAGTACGACAATTATCAAAACACATAAAGATTGTTTGGGTTGTTCGTCAGCAATTTTTTAATAGAATATATTAAGCACTAGCAGCATCCGTCAAAGTTTGAGCTAGATTTTAGCGCTCATCGTCATCATAAGGTCGTCAGTCCTATGACTGGTTGAACTCGCACCTTCACTCCTTCCTACCCTGAGCTAATCTTCGCATTTCCTTAAAATTAGAACATCCCACATCCTTAACTATTTGCGAACAGTAATCCAATCTAGGTCTACTTATATTTCTCTTAACTCTTTTATAGGCGGATGATGAGGATATCGTGGGTAGAAAAGGTTAGAAATGAAGAGGTATTGGAAAGAATAGGAGAACAGAGGACTCTATGGAAGTCAATAAAAAATAGGCGAGACAGGTTGGTAGGACACCTTCTGAGGCATGAAGGTCTAGTCAGAGACATATTAGAGGCAGAAACAGGAGTTAGGAGGGGAAGAGGTAGACCTAGATTAGATTACTGTTCGCAAATAGTTAAGGATGTGGGCTGTTCTAGTTTTAGGGAAATGCGAAGTTTAGCTCAAGATAGGAAAGAGTGGAGGTACGTGTCCAACCAGTCTTAGGACTGATGACCTTATTATGATTATGATGATGATGATGATGATGAACTCTTTTTTCTGCCTCTAATATGTCTCTGACTGGACCTTCAAGCCTGAGAAGGTGTCCTACCAACCTATGTCGCCTATTTTTTATTGACTTCCATGGAGTCCTCTGTTGTCCTATTCTTTCTAAAACCTCTTAATTTCTAACTTTCTCTATCCACGGTATCCTCATCATTCGCCGGTAACACAAGATTTTAGCAGTAAATACAAAAAAGAAATTTACCACTGTTTGAAAAAAGGGACGTGCAAGAGTGTTCTTTGTTCCTATGTCTGGATAACACATGGTTGAAATATCAAGAAAAACTGTTTTCTTTTCGATATTTTTACTTCTATTTGAAGTATCTTGTGCTATTTTTTGCGTTGGACGAAGGATGAGTTCTTCAGTTTTCATAACTTTCAACTATCGACACTGTTTTCTTGAAACGTCATGACATGTTCGCATGTATGACAAAAAATTTCAGCTTTTCAAGCAATTATTGTGTCGGGAAATAGAAAAATTTGTACTTAGAAGAAAAAAGTATCAGATGAAATGATCAAGGCCAAGACTAAGACGCAAAATCAATATCAAAACCGAGGTTATATCAGCAAGACTACGATTAAAACCGAAAAAACTGGGACAGCTGTGCTCATCACTAATTAGAATTTTATGACAGTGTAAGATCTCATCCAGAAATAATGCTCGATTATACAGTAATTCGATTCCGCATTACACTGTATATTTTATACCTTCAACAACAAGAACGACATCTAAAAAAATGTCACGTAACAAACAATCCATTACAGGAAAGGTAAAACACCCAAGCCTAATTACGAGTGTCATGCGAAAATAATTACGAGCAGACTTAAGTATGTATTAGAGCGGCTTTGAGCCGGAAAAGCGTGGTTATAGGAAACGGACCGATTGGAAATTAATGAACATGTAGCGAATTAAACTCGGTTGAACTCGAAAATAACGGTTCAACCTCGTGTTAACACATAGCAAAGTAACCGAATGAATTCAAATGAGCGATTTTGCATGAAATATATATCGGTTGTTTTAGTGTCAACGTTAAAGTGCAACACGATAAAATTATGGTCATTACTTCGGCCGCTATTGCACTGCAACAACGCAACGCCAAGTGAACCGATTCCAAGGATTTCTAAAGGATAACGACCGAGAATTATGTTTCCTGAAAATACAATTGTACTTAAACGTTTTATCTATTCGCAATTTGTTTTAAATTTTCCATGATAGCACTTGGAAATGCAATATCCGGGAAAATTATTCCGAAATGACCTACTGTAATACAGGCTTACAAATCACACGAAGTCAGCTTGAGAGACGGCTATAAGTCTTAATGGAACTATTACATCCTTAAATTAAAATAGAATTATTACTGGAACAGGTACAGCCAGAAAAATATTAAATATCTAGCATCTAGCAAAGAGA